CGCCGGTTAGATGACTGCGGTCCACTTCCTCTCTCGTCTCCTCTCGTCTTCGCTCCTCCGGACCTCCCTCGACCGTGACCGGGACGGCCGAACGGTCGAAGAAGTCTAGAGACTACTTCTCTTCACCGTTGACCGTGTTGCTCTGAGGTCATTGCAGGCCGAACGGGCCCTTATATACGCGATAGGCCCTTCCTTCCGTGCCTTTGCACGTGGTGGTTGATGGGGGCCCTTGAGGGATGCCCCCTGGGAAAACGGCTCGGCGCAACGTTCCTTTTCAGATCCTTCCGCTCCCCTTCTATGTCATCCTTCCTTTTCCCCCCTCGTTCCAGGGGAAAAGAGACGAGACGGGAAGATCCTTGCTCCTGAACGCGTTTGCCTTCTTACCTGTTTCTGCACACGTAACCGTGAGCAAACGTGACGGTTTCCTCTCCCGATGTTTCACGAGGGGTGCTGGTCGTCACCCCCTGAAAATCCAAAGGGGGACGAAGGCTCCAGGTGCCGGCGGAAAGATGAGCCGTGCACTTTCGAGAATTTCTGCCAAATGGAATTTCTTCGCGTAAATGGTAAATTCGAAATACTGTCTGTGAAAGCTATCTCCAGGTGAAGTTGTCTAGGAATGAGATTTATCTGGCTCGTTTGTCTTTGTAGGATCGTTAGAATTAAGACTCGGAAAGATCACAAACAGAATTTGGAAGCGAAACGACATAAGAATCCCCCGGCCTTTAAATCATCGCGTATTTTTATAAATAAGAAAAAAATAATGTTCAGTAAATAAAATAAGAATATTCTTATTCCAATTAGATAATAAGATTAATTATTAAATTATTATAATTATTATAATATTAAATTTATATTCATATTTATATCTGTATTTAATTATAATATCTAACTTCTAAATTAAATCACACTTCAGACATTTCTGTGTCTTTACTCTACTAATTAGCTTTGCAGAGCTTAAACAATCGCCAATATTGCAATATTGCATTGACATGAAATAAAACATAAATACTATTTGCTATTTAAAATGACGCTTGTCCGGTATGACTGTTATTCCTTAACCGTTACTCTTTAACCGCGCATCCCCTTTGCACGATGACGCGAGAGTTACCGGTTTAGCATTCGAATGTCACGACAGCTAAATCGATTTTCTCTTTTACATATCTCAACGATTTCTTTAACCCTTTAATAATAGCCGCGGATCCAGTTATGTGAGTCGATGAGACAACGGATGACGTTGACCGTTTCTCGCAGACCGTTTTCTTTCTTTCACTCTTCCCGAACTTTCCACCAACTGTACGCGCACGTATTGTGTACAAGACTTGTACACAATGTACACAAAAAGAGAGAAAAATTTCTTCGAGATGACATCGTGAGATAAGTTTATTAAACTTTCCCACAAATGTTATTGAAGCTTCTTGACCAGACAGATGCGTTAGTGAATGGTTGGCCCAAACAGGTCGAATAATTCAGCCGTTTGCTAATTCTTATTCTTATTACATATTTATTTCTTAATTTGTTCAATCTATTTAAATTTATTCTTATTTATACAAAATTTATATGTAATATTAAGTTTTATGTTTTATTTTCAATTGCGCCACTTTTTCTTTTTCTTTTTCCGATTATCATGTTTCAAACCTATCTCTTTCCTTTATTCAGTAAATCTTTTTTAATTTTATTTCTTTAATACATTTTGCTATCATTTAAAGTCTTAATCCTTTTAAAATTATTATTATTTAATATGTATTTGTACAAATATAATTTATAATTTCTTGTCACTAATTTTTGCTACTTAATTTTTGTCAAATAATGAATAAATAATTATAAGCTGCAAAAATATAAATCTTGCTGTATTGAGAAAGTCTCCAAGTTCCTTGTTGATTTGAAGTACCCTGTCGATCAGGGTGTCGATGTGTATGATTTTTGAAAGCATCGACACGCGCCACCCGCAGCATACGATATGCCCCTCATAGGGATTGGTTCGTCGATTCAAGATCGACGTGAATCATTCGGCAAGAATAGTTAAATAAATTCTCGTCGATGCGCAATGTTAACTATGCGGGTACCAACTAACCACTGGGGGAGATTACTAGGGTAGATAATTGGTTAATGACTCCTGCTACTATGATCTTTTTCAGCATATTCGTCACGGTAACACAAGCACGGCGATTAATTTGTTTTAACTGTAAATCGAAGTTATTTCGCGATAGAACTTGCGGAAGTTTTTTGTTTCTCATTCGTAACGCAACTCATGATTATCAACATTTGAAAATAATTGATATAAATGGGATTCTTAAGTAAATCTTAAAATAAAAAAAAATATATAAAAAGAAATGTATAAAGATTTATTTTTGTAATAGAACAACTCAAGTTTTTTATATTAATTTATAATCAAAGTGATTTTTTTTAAAGTGTATGGAGAAAAAAAATAGAAATAAAAATAGAGAAATGAAATAAAATAAAAAAAATAAAAAAAAATACACATGTAAAAAATTTTGTAATGTTTTGAAGGTGAAATCTGTCTTTTTTCTTCTTTTTTAATTTAATTCTTTTCTATATTCACATTTCTCTTCAATGTCTTTTGATTTGATCTGCAATTTTTAAAGAGACAGAGTAAAAAGATCTGCAGTACTTGAAAGGGTAGCAGAACATATGTCCCAAAAAATATATTTTTATCATATAATAATTCAACATAAATATATATTCAAGATGAAAGTTGCTTGTTTTGAAGCTTATTAATTTTTTCCAACATTGCAATTGTTGTTTCGAAACAATTCAACAATTCTTTTTTAAAGTTATAGTTCTTCCCTTCTGCTTTCTTTACTTGATTTTTACGCTTGTCACGATCCATAATTAGCGTAATAACACGATTACTCGTTATTTCCGATAAGGCAGATGGCCGGAAGTGCAGTCCAGTTTCTCGATGCGGCACGGGTAGTTATTTATGCAACACTTAACGCGGGACCCAAGGGATAGCCGCCGAATCTGGGGTGGGAAACAGTGCTTCGGTATTTTTGCATCCCCTGCATTCTCACGCGAGTGCCGATACGAGTGAAAGGCTACCTGCACGAGAGTATCATTTTTCAAACAGGTACACACGTGCGTGACTCATTCGTTTTTATCGATTTGATCGTGACATTAATGAACAAGGCGTGATATAATTGACTGATTGATTGTGACAATTGCCTTTTTTGTGTTCGTGTCAAATTAATTCGTAGATGTACTTATGTATATGTATATTCAGATGTATTCAATAATTCATCGATTATAAAGAATAACAAAATTCCGAATGAAACTGCGATAATAAGAAATATATTGTAATTATTGTAATTAATTATTGTAAATTAATTTAAATAGCACAAATTTTATTTTAACCGTGCAATTTCAAAATTTTTTAAGACTACGAATGGAATTATAATTGGAATTATATCGAATAAGATTGAATTTGATAGCTAAATTAAATTTTATTTATTTATATATTTAAAATAACATGATTATATATATAATATAAATAAAATAAAATATATATATATAATTTTCCTATTATTACTATAAAATAGATGTATATTTTTACAATCAATATAATCTTTGTACTTTTTTATAAATATATCTTTTTATAAACTTTCTATCTTTTTATAAACTGGTAATCTTTATTCAATTCGTAAATATTTACAAATTTGTTTATATTAAATTAATTAACAATTATTAATGCTTTTTCTCGGTCATTTCTTGCAGTAACACGGAGAAATTAAAGATTCGCGAATTTTTTCAGAATTCATAGCTTATTCTGCTCGTTGTCTAAATTCGAAGGGAGAGCGTGCTACTTCTTGAACCCTTAAACCTTCCGACCCTCTGACCCTGATCCAGACTATGGGTGCTATTGCACAGTCGTTTAGTTTCATACATTTCTATACTCACATCTGCCTTATGTTCTCACGCTATTTTCCTTCCAGCTCTCTTAAAGTCCCCGAGTAACGGCGATGAGCTTTGTTATCGAGATATAAAGGGTTAAGCCAATGTCCAGAAAGTAAAAAATTAAATTTCTTTTATCACATCGAAAAAAGTTGAAATCTTTAAAAATATTTCCTGATTTTAGCTATCATAATAGTTATTAATATTAAATTAAGAAAAATTGAATTCTTTTAGAGATATGTCTAAATCTGTGCCCTATTTATGTCTATAATCAAACTTTCTGATTTCTTTAGCCTTCAGATTTCTTTTTCCATCATCAGTACACAGCTTGAATAATTTTCTCATTTTTATATTCCATGAGGTTCCAAAAAAATTATTATATTTTAATTTAAAAGTAAAGTTAATTTTTGAAATTAGTATATTTTTACTTGTGTATAAAATAAAAAATTTGATATTCTAGAAATAAGAAAATATTAAATAAGATTCAAAAACGTAAAAATGATAAATTTCGAATCATCGTAAGATATAAAAATTGACGCATCTACAAGAGGATTTATAAGTGAGTATTAAGATCTTTTTTCTTAAAATTTCAATTAGATTTTTCGACATATTGACATTCTTAAATATATATAAAACAATATATATAAACAAAAAATGTTTATTTGTAAAAATCTAAATAATTAGTTTAGTTTAAAATTTTAGTTCTTTCGTAAATATTCTTTTTATATTTATTTCTTTATAATAAAGAAAAATATATAATTCTTTCTTATAAAATTGTTAATTTCAATAATAAAAGAGATATGTATATTGAATTTCCCTATAAAATAACTCAAAATGAAATTTAAAAAAGAAAGAACACGAAGAAGAATCTTATCTCGATGTAAAATTCATATGTAAAATTCATATGATTTCTGCTTGCAAGTTAATATAATAACTATAGGAATCAAAGAGAAATTTCGAGAATTACAATTATTTGCTAATCATATGAAAATTGAAAAGATAACAAACTTCAAAGATAAATAATTCTAAATGAGGGAAAAAGAGCATGAAGCAACATGAAATGCAAGAATTAATATAAATGTAACATATAATAGGTTTGTTCAAATGTTTTAATATTTAATAAATCATACATAAGATTCCGGAAATTCGAACGTTACATCTCGTCCCGTCAGTTGTTTGTACACCGAAGCAAACGTATCAACCTAAAAAGAATTAATTAAAATGAGTTACATATTACTAGATAAATATTTCGTGTAAAAATAAATAAAAAAACAAGTGTACCTTGTGCTCAATATTTGTTTGTTCATTTTTATCTAAATGAACTTTAATAACTTGCGAGCCATCAAGTTTTACTCGAATTCGCTTGCCCACAATCTCTACAGGATATACGATATCCTCCAGCAGAGCATCGTACACCGCAGTCAATGTTCGACTAAAATAAAAATTGATTATGTAAGATTTAATTAAAATATCTAATTTAAATGTTAAATATGAACTAAAGATAGTTTTATAGAATAGATTTGATTTACAAAATAGAAATTACATGATGAGTGTTAATATAATTAAATTATATCAATCTATAATTAGATAAAAATAATTTTTACTTTCTTACCTCCTAGGACGCTTCTGCTTATTCTTCGTACGGGTCTTTCTCGTTGGCTTTGGTAAGATTTTACGTTCACCAACGAACATGACGTGTTTGCCAGAGAATTTCTTTTCTAACTCACGCACTAGCCTTGTTTGGATCTTTTGAAAAGCCTTCAGTTTTGGCATCGGTACATAAATGATGATAGACTTTAAAGAACAAAAGTAACATATTACAATCATTCAATATTCATAATCTTATTTGTAGTTTTAAAAAAATTTTAAACAGCAAGATTAAAGTAAAACTTATGGTATTTAAATTAATAATTTACAATACATTTCTTTATTAACAGTTTGCTTTCAAGAATATTGAATAAAAATAAAGATCTAACCATAAGGCATTAAAATTTACCTTTTTATTGTTAGTCTCCAACTCTTTCGCCTTGGTGATGTAGAGTTCCCTCAAGTGCGATTTCAGGTCACTGTTCATTTCCAATTCTAAAAGAGCATTGGAGATACTCGCCTCAAACTGGTCGGGCTCAGCCCCGCCGCTTTTAATTATTTTTGCATTAGCCGTGAACATCTGAAAGAAAGACCTCTAGGTTAGGACAATGTTTACGCGTGTCAATTGTATGTAAATTGCCTGTCGATTGCGTCGAAGACGTCAGATCAAACGTCGAACTCCGCGGAGATACTGGATTCAGCATCCGGACGTGCTGTCCCTCCACGTGAAAACAATCACCGAGAGCGGCATTATGGTAGACGCGAGGATCGCGACGGAGGTCAAGAAAATCCATCATAATCACGACGCGGACGTGCGATCCGGAGTAGATATCGGTCGCTTCACATAATACAGGGTTTTCGGCATCACGCGACGCGAGATTTCATACATCATCGTACATTTAACAACTGCAAAATTAAATGTTCGAAAATATGCCCACCTTGTCCACCTGACTACCACATGGAAAAGAGGCCGGGATAAGAAGATAGCTAGTGTGGACACTCGGGCGTTTTTTTTCCTGAAATCCCTGCGAGTCGCTAGCATCGGCTGGCCACGTGATTGACGTCTTGGTTTCTTTCGTGCCGCGTTTCGGGGTGCTACTTCATTCGTCGACGAATTTTTTGAACGTACCGATTGGTTAATGGGAATGGAGAATTTCTAATGTCTCGATATCTAATGCGCGTGCGAAAAAAAACCTTCATAGCAAGTGAGCGACACGATTGCTCATCTGGATTCCAGATACATTTTGTGCTCCAACCTCTAACTAATCTAAACTAATTTTCTTGAAATTTCTCTCAGTGAATTTCGGGTTTCGAAGAAGTTTTTTGCTGCGAATCTCTTTTCATTATTTGAAAATTTGATATTGATTCTCGAAAATTAGAAATTTAAAAGGTGAAAGAAAAAAAAAAGAATAGCAGTCGAAGAGCTTGGGGCTTGAAAATAAAAAAAATTAAGTTCGTATTAAATATTAATTTATTTTAAATTTATACATTTTAATTTATACATTTTTATATAATTTTATACTCAGTCGATTGGATATTATTTAATTTATATGTTTTCGAAGAATTATATATAATTGTGTATTAAAAGCAGGATGGATGCAGCGGACAGTGAAAATGATCCTTCAAATAAAGGTATAATCAGTGATAATTGATAATTTTTAATATTAAAATATTTATTTAATTATAATCATTTTCATTTTAATTATAATGATTAAAGCTGTAGGTTTAGTGGAAAGGAATGTTATACCACAAGGTATACCATTGATCGATCCAGATTCTGTAGCAAAAGTGGATGGACATGATTTGATGACACTGATAGCAGAAATTGAAAGGGTAATGAAGGATAATTTTATCCAACAATTAATAGTTAAATGTATTATATGTTCCAGACAACACAAAATTTAAAATTAAAATATAATGTTTTTAAGATATTTTGTGTCTCAATTTTGGGTATTATATTATTTGATTATGATATTGTTAATATATTTATTAATTTACTACTTACCCTCATATAGGCAGATAAGTGTATAAAAGACAATGCATGTAATAAATTGCAAGTGATTGCAACACAAATTAGATTTTTGCAAAAACAGGCCCAGGATATCTTGATGGAAGCACAAAGACATTCAAAACTGCATCATGTAGCTTGCAATTTTGTAAAACAGCGGGGTCACATATATCATTTATATCAACGAGAATCAGGGCAGCTTTATTTTTCCATGCTTAGCCCAGAAGTAAATAACCATTTTATAATTAAAATAGCAATTACTAATTACTTTTGTAAAATCGTCTATTAATTTCTTTTGTTGTACCTATTTATAGGAATGGGGTAATTTTTCTCTATCACAGAATTACAAGGGTGCTTATAGATTTGAAGGGGACTGTTCATGGACACCAATATCTGAATTGGAGGCAAAGGACGAGAATTTACAGCTGTTGAGAAAATTTTTACCTCCCAATATGACTAAACCTATATTAGATATAAATACGCAAATATAACTAAATTATAAAAAGTACAAAAAAATTAGGAACAAAATATATAAAAAAAATCTAAGACTATCGAGCTAACTTCAGCTAATTTATTTCAATCTTGATAGATTAAATATCTCCACATTATATAACTCAACAAACAAATTTATTTCGTAATATCGACTTAGACTCTCTATTTGATAAATGTACATACAAATATATTTCTCTACATAAGTAGAATAGATATTTGCTTTGTTATTATTGTAAATTACATATATAATTTTTTACATAATTTTGTGATAGTATGTTTACATACATCTTATCGTTCAAAACGATATCTATTTTGTACGAGAGTAATTCTTATTGTGATACACTAATACTTTAATTCCATTGTAAATTCAGTTGTAAATCCAGTGATCGGCTGTATAATTAATTAAACAAATGTCTTTTTAAATGCAATAATATGCATACTATGACTGAACGTTATTTTTATTTATATTCATATTTATGACTGTCAAAAATATATAATTTCAAGGATCAATATGATTCCTGGAATTATATATTATCTGTTTTATATGGTATGTGTGTATATATATATATGTGTGTGTGTGTGTGTGTGTGCGCGTGCGTGCGCGTGCATGCGTGATTTTGTGTGCGTGTGCGCGCGCGGTGTGTGTGTGTGTGTGTGTGTGTATGTGCATGTATGTATATCATTACATTTCTACAGGCAGTAGATTTGTATTTAGATTGGCTTTTGTTTTTTCTTCTATAAAATATTAGGAATATGTCTTCAATGAGCAAATAAATACATTAGTGCAACTTGTGATTAAAAATACTACAAACACAACTGAAGGTCTAGAACGCGCATTATTTTTTTTGTAGAATATTTTTTTTTAAATTATAAGATATTTTACTTAAAATATATCACTATAATCAAATAATAAAATACAATTTTACTGAAAACACAATAGTCATGTACAAAGAAGAATTAACGAACACTTTTAATAATTTTTATGCTTTATGTAAAAATTAAATCTTTAAAAATAAACAAATCTACATCGAAATAATGCCGATCATTGTCGAGGACTGCGACGACTGTGTTTTGGTTTTAATGTTGAATCTATACGTCAAGTGGTATTGACTTTGTGAGCTGAAACACATAAATGATCAATGATCAAATCATGATTAAATATTAAATAAATCTGTTTTTAACAAAAACAAGTAAATGCTTACATGAAATTGGTATCCTGAGAGGTGCATCATCTCGTATAACACATTCGTGCGTTTGAGTATGGAAGAGATATTGTACCAAAAGCTGTTTGTCTTCCCCCACACATGGGTCATAAAATCCAGGTAGTTGGCTCTACAATATAAAATTTTTATATAGTTTGTAATTATTATTTCAATTTTCACAACTATATATTATTTAAAGCCAATGTTTAATAAATTTTATTTATATAAAATTAAAAATATAAAATTTTGAACATTTTAATAGATAATAACAATAAAACTCTGGAAAGAAAAAAAAAAACAAGATTTTAAAAAGCGCACCTTAGATGCCTTGTGAAGAATCAATTTAGAATCCTTGACTAAGCATTGCAAAGGAATTGTTACATCTATTACTTCGTCCCTGTGTCCACCTTCTTCCGTAGTGGGTCGATCCTGTTGCGGATAAACGAATCGACCGTACAACGCTTTGGTAATGATTAATCCTTTCTTGGATTCCTCCTCAGCTCTTATTCTGCTGACAGTTTCTTTCATTAATTCGGTGGCTGCTTTGGCTTCCCTTTGCTTTTCCAGCATTCGAGACTTGTTCAGTTCTCTTTGTTTCTCCTTCTCGCGCTCTTTCCTCTCCTTCACGACAGGATCAATTATGAGTTTCTTAATGACCGTCCAAGTAATTATGGGTGCCACAGTGGCGTAAAAGACGGGAGCCGGAAGAACCTCATCGCACAAATGGATAGGGAACGTATACGCCTGCGATGCACGACTTAGTCTAAGTTTTAACGTAACGCCAGTTGGAACGCCGACGCGTACAGCCGCAGAGATCGAGCTGTGCTTGGAGACTTTTTTCTCTGCGCCATATTCGAGGAACGCACCAAACGTTCCGGCCCTATAAATTACATAGACCAAATTATAAAGGCAACTATGCTAGAATTCACAGCAGACCAAATCAATACTTGATAACACTAACTTGACACTACCGCGAAGTTTGAGTTGCTTTTCTTCCATTTTATAAGTATAATTAAGGCTGACGAAAGAATTTAGAAGTCCGAAGTGTATAGAAAATGCCATATATGATCGAGATGTATCTCTTACAATCATAGTACTCATGGCGTCTTGAATACCAGCTCTGTACGTGAGATATCCCACCGTATGTTTATCTAATTGCATTGCGAGAGCTGCAAATAAATAAAATAATTTTGTTCAAAAGATATCTTCTTTTATATTGGAAATAAATTTTTCTAATGTCAAAGATGAATAACATAGAAAAATAAGAATTACATGGTTACAATTATATTGGGAGAATAATCTCAAGTGAACGTACTCCCAACGTAGCCAGCTTTCACGCCGCGCGGCGTAAATTGCAGTATTGCCGCCCCATCGCAAAACAATCGCTTCGTTAACGTACGAAATGCCTTGATGGAGAACGTTGGACCGTTGCCAGCTCCGACCTCAACTTCGACCCAACCTTTCGAAGATATCAGTCGCTTTGCCGAGACATTAATGGAGCCGGAACCCGTGCCATTTTGAGTCCCGAGTTGACCAGACATGGTTACAGTATCCCTCAGAGTGAGGGGTGCTTCGATAGATTGTGCGAACGACATCCCACTGACTTCGATACACGAAAACAATCCACCACTGAAATAAAGTATAGTCTTTTAGTCAAATATCATAGATCGCGCTAATTATTGATTTCTTTAATATTTTAATAAATGTAGTATATTATACATTTTTCTATACAATTATATAATTATATACATTTTTTTAAAGCTTTCTCGTGAAATTTATTTTTTAATCTCGATGTGATATACAAATTTGGCGATCAAATTTGTTTTAGTATATAAAAATTTATACAAAACATTTGATTCCATTTTAAAGTCAGAAATAATTTTTTTCTAGACAATTGTAATTAAATTCCATTATTAAATGATCTCTTTATTGTGTCTTATAATCGATGTCTTATTATATAATTTAAATTGATCGATCTTACCCATCGTTGTAATCTTCATCGTATTTACTGAAAAGATCAGTAGCATTGATGTTTACCGTTACAGTACCCTTAGGATTGGTATGTTGTTGCAGTCGTCTCTCTTCTCTTTCCTTTGCCAACCTTTCATATTCTTCGCGAATTTCTTGAGGTGTTTTTGTGCGTTGTACAATTTCCCATCCTTCTGTCTCTAATCCACGAATCCCCAGCGAGTCGTAAATTGCTCTTTGATGTGGATCATTCAATACTTAAGCAGAATTAATTATCAATTTTTATAATTTGACAATTATTATGACAATAATAAAAGATATAGCTTTAAGTATTAATTTCAATGATAAAATAATTCTGAAACATTTTTCAGATCACAAATCCATAGATATCAGCTTAAATTATAATACAAACCTTCATATGCTTTCTTTGTACGATTGAAAAGAACCTCAGCTTCTTTTTTAAGTGTCGGATCCGTATGCTTGTCCGGATGGTAGAGTTTACTGAGCCTGCGATACGCATTGCTGATATCCTCAGGGCTGGCCTAGAAACATCAAAGAAATTTGTTGCAGCAGGGGATGTGAATTGCATCATCCACAAACATTCTATGAAAGAAAGGATCCAGGGAGACAGATCTAAAATGACATTCATTTATATATAACACAAAAATCAAAGAGATTCATGTTTTACAATAAAGCTTCTCTAACAAAATGATTAACGATCTAAAAATTAATGATTAGTAAGAAAAGTGGTGTATCAACAGGATCGACGTTGCGTTTCCGATTAATTCAACAAGAATGATTTTCCTGGAGGAACAGGAATCTCCTGGAGCATTGTTACATCAGAGACGAGGGTGTCACGTGGAGGACCGATCTCTGGGAACCAGAACGGGATCGCGTAGAAGGACGGGATCGCGACGAGGACATTCGCCCGGGGCATTCTCACGTTTTTCGGGATATTCAGGAACGTGTAGTAGTCGTCCTCGATCGTGGTTTCCTGGTCACTATCGTCGTCCATTTTAAAACTTGCAAATCTTGTCCCGTCTACCAACGACCTTCCGCGGAATCGAGCGTTCTGTCTCCCCGTTGCTCTTTATAGGTTACAGTACAACTGCGGGCCGGTAAGACGAACGATTTCCCCAGGTCCGTCGCTAGATGGCGGCCGCTGCCCGAATTGGCGTCCGCGGCGGTTGCCGAGGGAGAGGAGGAGAATCCGGCGAATCCGGGAGAGGTTATTTGTCGTATAAGAAAATCGTGGAAAAAAATGTGATTCTCTGCTTGACAAACCGCTCATTATTGAGTCGCTCGCCGAGTGTCATTGCTGGACCAGATGCGTGACGTGGTAAGTAAATGTCATGGGATTCGCGACAAGCTTCGTCTTCGTATTACCGCGGTGTCATGTTTCATGACGTTCAGATGAACATCCAGTTTCGAGATGGATTTATTGAACTTTATAAGGCGTCATGTAGATCGCGACGGAATTAGCAAAAATGCGGAAGCGTTTTTGCCATGACGTAACACAAAAGATGTATATTTAGAAATATATATTTAATATATTCACATTAAATTAGATATATATTCACATTGAATTGTAGATACATATTTGATAAGTAATTAAATATATATTTTTTAATTTATATTTATATTTTTATTATAATGAATAAATAAGTAAATGCGAATCTGTTTTCTGAATATAGATTTGTTGAGTATTAAAGCGACACGATGCCTGGGAAGATAAAGGTGAAGATACTGGCAGGTCGTAATCTGCCAGTAATGGATCGTTCTGGCGACACGACGGATGCTTATGTGGAATTGAAATTCGGCAACATAACTTACAAGACAGATGTGTGCCGAAAGTCTCTGAATCCACAATGGAACTCGGAATGGTATAGATTTGAAGTTGACGATGCTGAACTACAAGATGAGCCACTGCAAATCAGATTGATGGATCATGACACATATTCTGCTAATGATGCGATAGGCAAAGTTTATATAAATCTTAATCCATTGTTGCTGCCTGGTATACTGCCTCCAGTAAAGAACATTTGGACTCTGGAGGCAACTATGAACACCAGTGCTGGATCTCAAGGTACATATATGATACATGATATATAACAACATGAAAAATATTTGTATATTTTATATATTTATTGTTCATATTTTTTCTTTCTGTTACATTACAGGATCAGTTATGACTGGCTGGATACCTGTATATGACACAATGCACGGCATACGTGGCGAAGTAAATATTATCATAAAGGTGGAACTATTTTCTGATTTTAATAAGTTTAGGCAATCATCCTGCGGAGTACAATTCTTTTATTGTAAGCATATTTCATTCTTGTTATATTTTATATAATACTGATAGTCGAATGAGTTTGTAATTTACATATTATTTATTTTATGAAAATTATTGGTTTCAAATTTTAAAGATATATTATTTACATAAGTTTATTAGAGAAAAGGTTAATAAGTAATTCTAAAATATTTTAGCACCTAATATACCATATGGATATCATGCACAAATGATACATGGATTTGTTGAAGAACTTGTAGTTAGTGATGACCCAGAATATAAATGGATCGATAAAATAAGAACACCCAGAGCATCGAACGAGGCACGACAGACTCTGTTTTTTAAACTAAGTGGAGAAGTCCAAAGGAAAATTGGATTAAAAGCATTGGATCTTGGTGGAAATGCTGTAATTGGGTAAATTTAATTCTAACTTTCATCTCTGCAATTATTTTTATGATTTTATGACATTATTTAAACTAAATAAGAAATTGATTTGAAATATTTCTACTCTTTCCTATACCTATTCCTTTATGATTATTTAACTTGCTACATTTGATTTCAGGTACTTGCAAAACTTTGATCTAGAAGGCGAATCCGGCATTGTTGCCAGAGGTATAGGCACAGCGGTAACGCTAGTAAAACTGCATGACGTTTTCGGTTTTCCTTGCGACAGCATCAATATCGAAGAGTGAGTATTTTATGTCCAATTACGATATTATTGAAGCAGACGGTGTCTCGTCCGAAAATAAATTGCATGTTCCATCATCATGATAAGCTGTAAATTACCGCGCAATTGCGTCTGGCATCGCACGAGCCAATTAAGCGCGTGTCGCCAACTCATAATCCAGGATAAATTTGGCGCTCGCAAACGAGCTATTTCGAGAAATTCGTACAAGGAAATATAGTTATTCCTATTTTACAGTCGAACTATTCTATCCTGTGACGGAAAATAATTTAGCGCAGATAGAGTTATCCGAAATTATTGGACGAAATTAACCTAATTTATAGAGAGCATCTTATAGATCATCTATTATCGATTACCTTTCATTTCGCTTCTCATCATTTTGGTATCACGAATAAAGTCAAATTGCTTAGCGTCATTAATAAACAATCGATATCTGAATTAATATTTAATTAAAATTATTTTCATTTTATTTATTTATTTAGTATGATTTAATTTTATTTATTTAGTATGATTTAATATTTTCTATGTAGCAAAATCAGTCTTACGTTTTGTAGCTTTCCTGAAGCGTCTAATTTTATATTATTTTTGGAAAAAAACTCTATTATATATTGTACACTTTTCAGCAAATAGTTTTTAAATTCTTCTTCCTGGCTGTAAATTAGATCACTCGTTTCACTGTTGTTTTTAATTATATCAAACTTTTTTAGGAAGTATGCGAAGATTAATGGATATTTTTCTTCTTCTTCCCTACCTGCATGCGTATATAGGATCGCATTCGCGCTTTCCTCACGCACAATAGTGCGAACGGAACGTTACGCCGACGACAGCGCGCCGTTCCCTATCTCTACTCCCGCTGGCGTTCCCGCTTCTTATCCTATTAGCAAAAACAGGAATCTTTACGCGAGATCCTTGTCGTCTTTAACGCGCCTGGAATGCGCAAAGGTGCCCGTGACTCCTGGACATGTCAGAGCGCGAAGGAAACGTGCCAAGCGCATTCCGTTTCTACGATCCAATACATCGAGTATGTTGAATCTAAGAGTGACCGCTTCCAGCAGCTCGGACGTCACTCCGTCGTCGGAAATTGATCGGAGTTTAATCGACGAAACGGTGAAATCTATACGTACCATAGTAATGCCAGAGGAGACAAGGAAGAAATCGTCGAGAGATCACCTCTCCAAGCAGATCAAGCATCTACGTAGTAAATTTGACTCGGTCGGCGAGGAGAGTCATTTCACCACGGAATCTGACCGCGATTCCGACATTATGAATCCTCAGGAGAGAAACCTGAAGGAAACCAAGACCACCGGTAGGATAATGGCCGCGTTACTTATCGAATCTATACAGAACATGTCTCTTGAGAATATCGAAAATATTGATCCCGCTTTGATTCTTCCCAGCGATAAACAGTCTAACGAAGAGATAAAGGAAGAAACAGTGCTGTGCTGTACAGAGAATCCTGAAAATAAGAATAGCAAGGTCCAAGTAGGTGAAGAGCAGCAGCAAGACGTCGCTTCCTCGATTGACGAGACGGAGATGTCTTCCTTCGATGACGAAAATTTGACGGGCGATGAATCATCGGGGGACACTGCCAGTTATAACATCTTGGACGACTCGAGATACTCGATCGATAGAGACTCCAACAAAACGGAGGACTCGGCGAGTCTCCAGGAGAGAATTCCCATTACGCACTCCAGTGCGGAGAGCTGCACGGAGTCTACACTGCAGATAGAATCGGACGTAGCGTCGAATCGTTCGCCATCAATCCCGAATTTAATAGATATGGAAGACACCATACTACAGAACGATAGGATTCCCATAATCACTGTGGACATTCACGAGAGCACAGATTCGGACACGTCCGGATTGTCGAACGATGAAAGTCAGCCGGATATCTCGGATTCGTATAACTTCGAGGAGACTAATATTTCCGCTGTGGAATTAACTCATTTGTCCGACAAAGGAAACATCAGCGATGTAAGACCAGCATCTGACACTTCTGGAAACGAGTGTCAGGTGCTTGGTTTGAGGATAGAGGAAAGTGAGCGGTGCAGCAGTGCCACCTTTACATCCGATGGTTCGTCGGTTCCCGAAGCACCTGATATTCGTCTGGATAAACCCGAACAAGATCTACATCCGAGCCACGATCAATCTATTCATCAACAAAATGAGAAATCAACGGGACTCGAATCTTCATTCATCGCTGAAGGATCGAAAGATCGCGTGAACGCAGGCAAAAAGGGGAATGATTCGGTGACGAAACGGGCATTGATCGAAGAAGCCCGTGCGATTATGATGGTCGAGAGACGAAAATGTATACGCGATTTGATCAAACTAATCGACACGAAGATGATGGTATCCGCACGGCCGACGCGTCGTAGCAAAAAAACCGTGTCGCTGAGGAGCAAGAAGAAGAAGAAGATCGAGAGAACGGGATCTCACAAGGAAGCGAAAAAGTCGGGGAATCCGCTTGACCGATTTCCTTCTCGTAGCGCGTCCACGAGGAAACGTGCGTCGCGTAAACGTCGCAAGAAGAGCGATCACCTTCGCGTTCCTCGCGTCCGCTCGATTCCCGAGTATCTATCCTCGGCGCAGCGCCCGATTATTCACGCCACCTCCCGTTCCTGCGACTCTTCTCCCATCAGTTTAACCGATCGCGTATCCCCAGCTCCCGCGTTCCATCGTCCGCTCGATGGTTCGCCCGGGACCTCGGGAAAACCGCCGAGGAGCAACCCCGGCAACAAATCCGACATCGTAACCGCGATATCTATCAGTAGCGACTGTAATCTAGGGAACACATCGTGTCATATTGATCGTACTATGCCCACTAACAATGCTAATATGACTTACAACTCGCGTGTGTCCCGTCCTTCTCCCGATCTTAGGCAGCAAGATGAAGCGTCGACCAGCCCGTCCTACCCGCTTCCGGCTGTTCCTACGGTGGCCGCGAAAATGTCCCAATCACCGGCGACCCGAACGCTCGCGAACGTGCCGCTTCATCGAAGATCGAGCGATTCCGATCTGAGCGTTACTCCCAAAGGTGAGCCAGCTTTTGTCTTTACGCAAAAGGATAAATCGAATCGAGGAATTATATATAATTATTGAACAGCTAAAAAGTTGTTTCTTATTTCTCATTGTTTATTTTTATATGCTTTACGAAAGAGTGAAATCTGTCTATTTAGGATTTATTGTCCTTTTACTTTTAATTAAAAAAATTAACATTGTTTCTCAGGTAACTCTCTAGGCAGTGATAGATCGATAGCAGGACCCCTAAGGACACCAGCTGCGGTAGTCAGACCCATGAATCAAGACACGCTAGAAATGTTAGAATATCCCTTCATTACTATGCAACATTACCCACCTGGCTTCATATTACATATAGGTAATTAAATTTACTACAAGATTACACGTCTTCAAGATCGTATCTTTGTGATATTATAATAACCTGATATATGAGATATTATATACAGTCCTCTTAAACGGTCATTAAATCTGGTTGATTTATTACAAAAAGAAAAGATATAGAAGGTCACGTAAATCTAATATAACATTGAATTATATGCGTGGTGAGTACAGGTGGTCTAGTGAGCTCGAGGTCGGTGAAATTACTCGAGAGGATAAGCAATCTGGAGGAACCGGAAGGCCGTGATGCGTGGTGGACCGAAATCAGAATGGAAGTTAGGTCACACGCGAGAGCGTTAGCTTGCAATGTTGTTATAGGCTACAAAGAAGAAACTAGTATATGGTAAGAGTTTTATATTAGTTGCGCATTGATGTTAGATAAAAACGGATCCTTTAAATAAAACTTAATTTTATATTTTTGATATTTGTCTATATATGAATCATGCATCAATATTATATAATTCTTTGCAGTGACGATGTGTGTGTGTTGAGTGCCTCCGGTACCGCGGCAGTCATAAATTTTCATAATTCTGGTCAAGAATCAGACGGCGTCGTTCTTAATAAACTTCAACAGAGTGCGCCCGCAGCTGCTGTGGATTCGGAAAAGGGCCAGCAAAAGTCCGTCGCGACAAAGGCAGAGAAAGTTGACAGTGATACACCTGTCGTGGCTCATACGGAGCGACAAAACGGAAAGGTGTGCAAGCACTCTTCCGAAGGCAATGATCACGAAGGTTTCTGCGGCCAGTCTCAGCTGCGATGCAACCTGTGTCATCTCCCTTACAGTGAAAGCAGCGTGCCATTTAGAGTCAATGTGTCAAAATGTACTATATGCAAGCGCGCCAAGGTTCCGGATGTTATGTTCACCACTATAGAAGTCCCGACGAATATACCGACAACCGGAAGAGGCTGCTTTATCCAAGCGACTGTATGCAAAAGCAAGAAAGACTTGCGTGGTGAACTGAATGCAAAGGAGATATCTGATTGTTTGCCGTTTCTGGAATATGAACTACACAGTTTATTGTTGAACAAGTTGAAGATCAAGGGTATGAACGCGGTGTTCGGCCTCAGGTTGCAGGTATCCGTGGGAGAACGGTTCATAATCGGTATGGCGGTAGGCACCGCGGTTTACTTGACCGCTCTACCGCCGCCTACCATTCCGCAAATAGCATCTAGCAATTCGTGGCATAACGAGGAGCAGTTAGGGGAAATGCAAAAGTCTATTGTAGAAACAGTGAAGAAGAACCGAGAGTTTTATCGTCTAAAGCCTATCGGAGTCAACGTATGTGGGACTTAGCACCGTTTTCATTTCAGAAAATGTCCTAGGGTTTGATCGTTAATTATAATCGTGACGCGATTGTAGGAAGTCGAAAACGGACGCTTTCCAAGTACTTCTGATACAGACGAGTCAGATGAGGATCTACCGGAACTCGATCTTGGATTGGGTACTCGCGATGCGTGCATCTTAGAAGTGGACGACATCGAGGATATGGACCGAATATCATCATTAATAGACAACAGACCACCCGATGATTTTCACGTCGTTAATACACAGACGATACCTGGTCTCGAAGATTTAGAGATCGTCAGAAATTTACAGATGTTCACGCAAATCTCTAGGGCTAAAATTCCCATAGGACAATTCGCGTCGATGCCATCAAAATATTTTGCCAGGTTACTTCAGGTAATATTTAATCTTTAAACTGTTTTGTAAGAAATGTGTTTTCTTACTTGTTGCCACATGTTTACTCTGACGCATGTTTGCTACTTGTAAAAGAAAATATATATTTCGCGAAAGTACTTTTATTTTATAAGCGCTTTTCCGCTTTAGTCTCTATATTTCAAATTAAGAAGAATGGTTCCCTGCGCCTTGTGTGACATGCAGTTTAAAGTAGCATTATCTGAACAAGATGAAATACAACTGACTGTCGTTGGTATGGCGCTTGGTTTGGGAGAACCCTTAAATACGAATAAATATAAAAGGAAGATTGTATGTCGTTCCTTGAGTAAGGATCAAGTAAGAAAGTCAGGTACTTCCTAATTCTTTTTATATTTATTTTTATATTTATATTTATTTTTTTATTGAAAGTTATTGTTGGATTTTGTATTGCGATCCACAATTATAATTACTATGTTTTTGATATCTGGAGTTATTCTTAATTAAAGTTTTAAAAATAAATTCCTCTTTATTTTCTGACAGATGACAGTGATATGATATTTAGTCTCGATGAGGATCATCTAGAAAACAATATCACATGTGACAATGCAACACGCGTTAGTACGGGAAATCCCGCAACTTTAAGTGGTGTCCCTATACAAAAGCCAAGACCACGTTCACCTTTACGTTTAAAATCATTCACTACTCATAGACGTAAACATGTAAGCACTTTAAATGTATATACAAACTTAATGTTTGTACTCATCATGCTTTTGTCTTACTTGTATCTAAATTTATAGTAAATGTGTTAAGCGTTAATAATATAGAGATTTTTCTGTACGTTTTGATTTCCATAGGTGCCTTTAAAAGGAAGATATGGTGTAGATATAACACCTTTATCTTACCTACCAGGTGGAAGAATAGAGAGGTATCAAGGCAACTTAAATTTCTTTTTTATTCGCGAAAGTACGTCGATACGAGAGGTGAGTTCCATAATATTCATAATGATGATCTTTCTCGACAGAATGTTATAAACAAAACGATTGCAATAATGTAATGTTATAGAATGGTGGATTGAGCGGTTTCACCCACAGTTTCGTAATGGAAGTTTTGGCAATTGTTCGTGCTCATATTACGGCATTAGGCGGTAACGCTATGGTAGCATTCTTTATGACACAGTGCGTGCTTCTCCATAGTCCGCACAAAAATCAGGTTAGTAAAAATATTGCAAATATTTATTGCGAATTATAAATATATACATTTTAATGCTTATTATTTGATACAAAATATACTTTTAGGGTCAGTGTTTGATTAATGTAGGTGGCGATGTTGTAACAGTATCTTATTATGCGGATGAGAAGCACAGCGCGGTTTCAAATTGCTGACCCCAGCCTCCTCATTCTGCGCCACCATGAACGACTATTTAACGCAATGGTAATTAGTGATTTGACTAAATGTTTGCCAATATTAATACTATTATAGGTCATTGCGGTTCTCGGAAATTTAATGCATTATATAATGACCAATCTCAAAATGTTTCGTTGCAGTAATTGATATTGCTGCTTATCAATTTATTTTATAAAAATCAGGATTCAATATTAATTTCTTTATGAATTAATAGAATAGAATAATACAATACAGAATATGACAAAGTATATTATACATTAGTCTACTATAAATTTAAAATATCTTGTATATTTAATACTGTCTGAGTAAATATTTAAATGAATTATAATATTTATGAATTTTAGTGACTGAATAGAATTATACATGTATGTAAATCTCAGAGGGATATTTTTCCCTATGAAATAGCTTTATGCATGTGATATGTTGCCAATCAACTGTACAATACTTTCAATTTTTTATAATTCATTAAATACTCAATTATGCAAAAGTACTCTGTTATTGGTTGTGTAATTGGAAAGTTAAAGATTTTATACTTGAAAAGTTTTAATTAAATTGTTGATTTTAATTAAGTAAGATCTCTATAGAAGTATTTTATTTTTGTTTGCCAATTGCACTACAAATGACAGACTACTTCAAAAACAAGATATTAATAGAATTATAATAATAGATATTAATATAATGTTTCTCTGTAAAAACTTAAGAAAGAATGAGAAACACGAATTAAATTTAGATTTTTAAAGAATGGTAGAATTAATGTTAAAGGCTGATAGCATCTTAAGTGAAACAAATTATCCATTTCGGAAATCAATATAGTTTTGGTAACTAGGTGCCTTGAAAACTATGCAGAAAGAGTTTACAAAAAATATTCTGTGTCATACAGAATATAAATCTACATCTCATACAGTGATTTCCAAATTTAAACTTTTTTAAGCCTACAAAATTAATAAAAAAACGAGATTGTTATTCTGAAGAATTAAATTAAGTAATTTGTTTAGAAGCAGATCACACACAATACATACATTTTCATCTCTTTAATTATGTTGATGCTCAAAAACATGTTGAAAACAAAAGATGAAGATGTTTTAAAAGAGAGATATTAGTAATCCTGATTAGTAACTAATGATAAGATGATAACGTTCACTTGTTTTTAATTATTGATCACATTTTATTTTATAAAAATATTGCAATGCATAAGTAACTTTGTATTGTAATTACAGATGAATGTAAAAAATGTGAAGAAATTTTTAATATTTATTTAACATTAACTGTATAGCATGAATTTATTTATTGCAATTGTATTTAATCTCGAACATTAAACTGTATAGCATGAAGTTATTTATTGCAATTATATTTAATCTCGAACAAACAATGCATTCGTTGTTCGAATATACAACAAAGCGTATCGAATTGTAAGAAATAAATATTGTATTTTACGATTTAATTATCAAGATAAAAGTTTCTATATATATCGAACATTGCCTGAATATGTAATTTACAAATCATATCTTATATTTATCTCTTTTACCTAGTTGAATTTTATTGCGATTCGTATGTGAAATGAAATCTTCACTCGAATAATTAATCTCTAGTCAAAGTACCATTGTTTGTTTTCCCCACTGTTGTTAATATTAAATTATATTATAAAGATATCTGGCGTTTTTGCATTCTCTTTCTTGAACTGTGGAAACTTAATATAGCAAATGGTCGCGTTTTTAATCCTTTATTTCATTAATTGCAAAGATTCGCTTTAATTTAACAATAGAATGAATAATTTTTTTTAAATTGACTTTTCCCATATTTAAATACCTAATTCTTTACTTCAAGATAAAATCACAAACGGGGAACTGCGCGGCTTATTTTTTTTCTATTTTTTATTTGTGTTGTTTTAAATATCTGTAGTGAGATACTTTTCTACATATTTATTGCAAAGTTATAATAATATTTGAAGATTTTATGAAAGTGAATGAATTAAGATATAATGTTATGTCACGATATAATGTTATGAAATGATCGCGGTGACAGCACAGTTGTTCGTGGCAAAATTTTGGTCAGCAGCAATAAGTGGAAGATATTGTGACAATACGAGTGACCCTATTAACTTCTTTTCGCTGCTCTAAAAAAGGCCGCTACAGGATATTATTTTTTTCTAACATTTACGTATTTATCGCAAAAAAGATTGAGCTAATAGCAGGACATCCAGTAGTCTCCAGCTTTATAAAATGAAAAATAGAGGGATATCTATTAAATCTAGAGAAAGTCCTATTATACTAAACAGTCGACGGCTTCTATTTGTTGAGTCTTAGGCAGCGAATACGTTCAAGGATACTCCTTTGATTAGACATGAAATTATAATTCATCTAAATTTTCTCCGTTGTAGCATTCTATAATAGATAGCAGGTAACCATACATCAATAAATTTTTAAATAAATATTCAATCTAGCAAATTTTACGTTATTATCAAATAAAACTTTAGAAAAAAAGAATCATTGATGTACATCAAACCTTTTAAATGTTTTTATTTGTTATTATATTATTTGTTTTATATTAACTTTTATATTGTCATAAAAAAATTGTTCGTTGCAATATATTATGCAAGTCTGATTGGCTGAAAAGCCAATCATTCATATAATATTCGAAAATCACAACCGTTTTGATTATTCTATATTTATATACTAAACAGATTAAGATGTTATTGGAAAGAAAATGTAAACATAGACAAATTAAGAAATAGAATAGTATAAAAAAGAAATAAGAGAGGATTATTGTGCTTTTTTTAGATTTCTACAGAAAGCCAATGTTAAAACTTATTCGTAGAGGCAAATAAAACATTTTTCAAATGGCTGTGTCTCTTATAAATTTTTATGCAAAACCAGATATTTAATAATTAAATTAATTAAATAAGAATCGTATTAAATGTGTACAATTTATTTTCTTTCCTTTGAAAAAAAGGATGAGAGGAGAGTCTCATGAGTTTATTACGTTTGCGTAAAACAAAACGTGTCTATTTTCAAATGTAACTTACGATTTATAAAATTATATTACTTTTTATGATTTCAATTTAATTTATATTATTCTGTGCATTTTTTAAAACTGTAAATAAAAATATTATATAAACATAAAAATTATTAAAAATTTTTAGTAAATTGTTTGAAATAATATAATATATA